ATACCATCTGTTCTAAATGATTCCTCGAAAAGCTCTTGCGAATGCAACAGCTGCTGGATTTCAACAGAACGTATACGTTTCCAGTGTCTAATGGCAAATGACAAGTTGTCATTGTGGTGTTTGTTTGTTTGTTTGTTTATTGGGCAGGTGCGCCTTCAAGTAGGCAATGAAATTTAAAAACTTCCGCTAATGATTAAAGTTTTCTCATAGTGTGTACACGAACGTGCATATATGTATGTATAAGTATACGATTGTTTGGGTGCTTGGGTGTTTGCATTTGTGTCAGTTTGCTTGGATCGGGTCTGTCTGGTGTCTCAACAAAATCGCAGCACTTGCCGTTTGGCTTCATTAAAAACCCATCAATCAGTCAGCCATCCAAGCAAACAAGCTGGCAGTCAATCAGTCAAACAAATCAATGCCGACTGATGGCTCAACACTGATTGAAAATTTTCAATCGTACAAAGCTCGACACTCGCCTTTTAGGCAAATCAACTGCGCCTCTAATTACCAAAGAAAGAAAGACGACGCGTGTCCTCAATTGGGGCGGGCGAGCCCATCATTAATGACTAGAGACTGGGCGTTGGGTTCAGTGAACCAAAGCAATGGCTGTGGCTCTAACTCTGACTATGCTCGTATACTATAATTGCGCGGCAGTCAGTCACCCATTTCGGGGCCAACTTGTGGTAACGACTAGACGTCCTGGCTTAGGCACAAACGACCAGCGGCCCATCAAGTCTAATCCAATTGCCAAGGATCAAGTGAGTAGAGACAGCCAAACACACAAATAAACACAATGAGATTCGCCTGCCTTTTCTGCAAAATATTGTAGCTATTTCAGTTGGCAATTGTTTCTTTATTGTCAAGGTCATTCAACGACGCACATCGCTCTAATTGTGCCCCCCTTTCCGCCTCTGTTTTGACTTTTGACTCACTTTATACTCTAAGCGTTGCAAAAGATATATTGATATAGCAAAGTACGAGATTCCAACCATGCGTGCTCCTCCACTGCTGATGATAGCTGAGATATGAGTAGGATTTAACGTATGGAAATATTTATGTTTGGTAATTTTGTAATCCTATAAGTATTAGAACTTGTTGAGGACTGGTGGGTTTCCTTTGAAGCCTTCTTCAGCTAAGGTCTCAGGTGTAGGTTTTCTGTTAAGGATGACTGCGATTAACAAACTAATAAAAGACCGAAATTTAAACTCAACATTTAATAAATGCCCAAATTGTGTACCGATTTACATCCCTACTGTATGTAGTATGTATATAGTTATTGATGTCAAATATATATTTAAAAAACCAAAAAAAAATTGTTTCACATCAAATTTATTTGTATTGTATTTTGAGAAAGAAATGAAATAAAGCATAACAATTATGCATTGCCTTATCGTTTTTGTAAGTCTTTTTTATCGTTCATGGCAATCGAATGGAGCAGACAATTATTCATTAGAATTTCTCAAAAGTTTATTTTAGTTCTGATATTGCCTGACACTTCTTCCCTGCTTTTGCTATCATTAAGGACCAAACGCTTTCTATAACCGCAGACTGGTGTCTGGCCAACTTCGTGTCCTTCAAAGTTGAAAGCATCTTGTCTGAGATAAAACTTTGAGGAAATTCCCGCTTATCATCGCCTGATGATTGCATTATGAATTCCATCAGAGTCTTTTGTCCTTTTTATGCATGCTTCTTCATTAGATGCGCTCTGCTGGGAATATTCTAGCCGCATTTGCGCCGGCTTGCATTTCAAAAATTGTTACTGGCAAGGGTGTGAAGGCTTCGTTGCTCGATTCTCTGCTTGCTGGTGCTGCTGCTGGTGCTGGTGTTGTCATTAGTTTTGGCTTTCGTGGCTGGGGTCGGAAGCAACCACATTATGAAACGCCGCTTGGTATTAAGATAACGAAGAAGCGATCTTTTTTGTTGTTTTCTTGTTGGATATATGCCCACCCCCCTTCTAACAAACGAACGTCCGCACTCCAGGCGAACTTTTTTTATCTGCTTGGAATTTGCGCCGTTTTGTTGTCGATTCTCAATTTATTTTCCACCGTTTGTTTCTTTGTTTGCGAGTGTCTGTGTTTGTTTGTCGCTAACGACCGGTGCTAAAAACTAATAGAGCGCAGTCTTTTATTTTTTATTTTGCTGTCTTTGCTTTGCTATTCATTTTTTATTCATTAGATTTGCGTAAACAATTGACAAACGGCAAATTGTGTACAGCCATAGCCGCAATCTTCAAAAAAAAAAAAAACCCATACAGATATACATCTGAGAGCGCCTTCCATGAATCGCATCGTTTTGACAGCCCCAGGAGAAGCCGCCTTGGCTATCATGTCGTATGCGCAATGCAAGCACTGAAATTAAATAAGCAGACACCGGCAGTTGCAGTAAAGGCTTTGCTTGAAAGCAACATCAAAGGCTTGGTAGTAAGAGGATTTAAGCTATTTCAGCTTCTACACGAGTAACAGAGTATGAAAATAGAAACGTACGCTTTCCATGCAACTCGCAAAGGTATTATTCTTAGGGGAGATGATCGCGTTTGGGTTTTCGCCAAGTTTTTAAGCTAAAGCACAGTTTTGATGATGCGACAAGTCTATCAAGACGATTACAATAAATACAAATAAACTAACTATAAGAAACGCTTCACTTCAGTGATTGCAACATACTACTTATAATAATGTATATCTTGAGAATCTGTTATTTCGCACAATCTTTCAGCTAAATATGCATATTAAGTAAGCTGATAATTGAAACAAGAAAAGCGGTTCCAATAATGGCAACCACTCGCACATATATTATTATTAAATATATATCGTCGTATCGCATATATTGAAGGAATCCTCATGTTTCATCGAGCTGCTTAAACTAAGTCGGAGCATGGGCTCTGTAAATTATGTATGCAGTTATTGCTGAAAACACTAGTACATACAAGTATATGTACTATGTATACACATGTACATGTACATACATAACTGCAGTAGGGTTAAGCTTCTGGCTGGCCTGTTCTGTGCTGGGCTGGGCAGGGCTGGTCAGGGCTGGGCAGGGCTGTTCCATTCACCATGCAATTGGAAACTGCTCGTTGCGCGGCAAATGTAAATGTAAATTTTTTAGCATGCCAGCCGTTGAGCGACCCAAGCAGGCCAAGTCAACTTTGACACATGTTCGACCCACTTGCGACAGAAAAAACAACAATAGCAACAACAACAGCAACAACAACAACAGCACCAACAATAACAAACACGTGCCGTGCTTAGTCGTTGTTGTTGTTGTTGTTCTCGCTGCGTCTCGACCCGCTCTCTATGCATAAATCATGCGCCAAAAACGCAAAACCCCGTCAGTAGGTATGTATGTTGGCCGCCGGCTGTGTAGCTACCCAACTGGTCCGCTAACTCGCCATCCAGCCAGTGATACAGGCAGTCAGGCAGTCAGGCAGTCGGGCAGCCAGGCAGCCAGGCAGCCAGCTTCGGGTCCTGGCTACTGTTTTGAGTCACAACTATTGGACCTGTGGAAAATGTTGCTGTCGGTGTTTCGCGTTTGCTTGCAATGAAGAGCAATAGCGAGCGAGTGAAATGAATTTCTAAACAGGTGAAAATTAGGTCAATATGTATATGAAGGTGTGAGTGTATGTATGTGAGGACGAGGAGGAGGAGGAGGAGGGGGACATGGGGCATGGGGGTGTCAATGACTGCCTGGCTATGTGAAATGCTCAAAACAAATTCTGATGTTGTCAACGCCTGTTGCTCACTGCTCTGTCTTAACCCTAGAAGAGAAACTCCACCCCATGTGGAAAAATGGTTTAAATTGTTCGAAATAATTACGCTTTGCTTCTATAGCACCAACTCGTAAAATAATAAAAATCTTGATATTGAAAAATTCAAATTGAATGAGGGTTCAGAATGTTGTGGAACAGCCAAGAAAAAGGCAAATATTTTACCTCTGCACAAGCTGATTAAAGCCAGCGAAAACCATTTACGAGTATCTTTAAAGATAGGCGCACAATTTTCTACTTTGGAAGCAAATCAATCCACTAAAGTGGACTCAGAGTTGATATTCTCAAGTATGTGTTTCTAGAGAGCTTTAATTTGCCGAAGAAATTCTTTAATTATATTAAGAACATTTGCAAAGTAAAAGATAGCATGTAGGCACAAAAAAGGGTTAAGGTTGTAAGTATGTATGTACACATGTGTGTGTGTGTGTGTGTGTGTGTTTAGAGAAGGAATAGCAATGGCCAACAACGTCACTGACCCAAAATTCAAATGTCTATGCGGGCCAAAAGGAAATTCTTAGCTTTGTGCTCGTCGATGGCGATGGCGATGGCGATGGGGCTGTGGCTGTGGATATGTCGACCATAGAGTTGGAGCATATAAGACCGTGATGGTGATGTCGTTGTTGTAGTCTTGCACGCGAAACTTAAGACAACGCTAGTACCACCAACAACAACAACATTAACATCAACAAGAAGAAGAAGAAGGTCCCAGTGTCCCCCAGCGTTCGCTGAAACTCAAACTATGACCAACAAGATGGCGCCTGCTTGTTGATTCTAATCGTGTGTGTCAGTGTGTGGACCCGCATATATGTGTGTGTGTGTGTGCGTGTGTGTGTGTGCGTGTGTGTGTGTGCGTGTGTGTGTATTTGGGCGCCTTTGTAGTCGTTGTATGTAAGCGTGTGTGGTTTTGCTTTTAATGCGTTTTATGTTTTTTAAGTCTTTTGATAAAATAAACTGAAAATCGATTTTAATTTAATAAAAATGGAAATGCCAGCGTTGTTGTTGTCGTTGTCGCTGCCGCTGCCGTCAACAGCAGCCAGAGCAACAACATCAACAACAATAATAACAAAAACAACATCGACGATACCACCATTAGCGCCATCTTCAATGCCATAAGACATTGGCCTTTGCACGAGTATCCCCATTTCAATGCCCATACCCATACCCATACCCATGGTGTTACATTCCAGCATTCGAGCATGTACGTGTCTTCACATATTTTTCCTCATTTTCAACTTACCTCAGACATTTTGTGTTGGTCTTTCTTTACAGAGCTGCAATTGTTGTTGATGATGACGTTGTTGCTTCAATTCAGCTTATTGTGGGCGGCAGCTTCGTCTTTGTCGTTGTCCGTGTCTCTGTCGTTGTCGTTGTCGTTGCCGTTGACGCTGCCGCTTAGGCGCCTTGTTGCCCAACATGGCGTATGATTAACGGCATTGCATCGCATTGCATTGCATTTTAGTTGTCTGAAAAGTTATTTGTTTTGATTCTAGTTCGTTGCGTTGCTTGTTGTTGCTGCTTCTGCTTCTGCTGCGGCGGCTGCTGTGTGGCATGCAACAAGTGGCACGGCATATTCACAACGTGCAGCCCAACGACTGCCTAATGGCTACGACATCAACATGGAGGCAATGCTGCAAAAATGGAGTAAAACAACAAATTAAAGCATTGAGAATGCACCGCATTTGCGCGATCAAATAAAATATATATAGTATACAGAATAGTAAGTACAAAACAAAATCCTTTCGGCTTGCCCATCAGCATTTTCAAGAATGAACGCAAATACACTCGCACCAACAAAATACTTTAATGAATTACCAGATGTTCTGAAGAACAATGGCATAGATAAAGGCATACTTAGAAGTTACAGATTTGGAAGTTCTAGTTTCAATTATATTTCTATATGGATTTTTTTTAAGCTTGCTTCTTTGCCGATTAGTATCTGACACATGATTTATTTTATAGAGTGAAAGAACAAATTAATATCTTGTTACTCTTCCAGTCACTCATAAATTACTTTTACAATGAACTCTTTAACAATACTATATGGGAATTAGTAGCTGCAACTCTTTTCCGTAACTCTGCCTCAAAGTTAGGGGTGAAAATGAATGAAGGGAGAACTTCAGAGAAAATTTCCTTTAAACTTAATCATCAAAAATGAATGGAAGTTTCTTAAGAAGTTTCTGACAAAGTTTTTGTTTATACCATAATCTGTTCTCTCTTAAAAAAGTTTAATCGGTATTAAGCAGTTTTTACACAATTTAGTTAACACAAATTTTCGCCTTGAATGTAAGAATAATTAAAATGGATTTATATTAAATTTGTAAGCTATAATAAAGGGTGGTTTCACAAAAGTAAGTATTACATGCTATATTTAATTTCTATTGGCTCTTGTGGCTACATTTTTACAGTTCTTGCATTTGTTAATTATTACAAATAGTTAGTATGCGAAAGAAATGAGTTCGTACATATATTAGAAGCGTAGCAAACCAGATTGTCCAACATTTTTACTCATATTTGGAACATATGTATGTATTGATCTTTTTAGGCAAATATATATAGATTAGAATAATCCAAAGTAATTGAAATTATTCATTCTTTAATATTAATATGCATATGTTTCATCTTTCTGTTATGTTGAAAATTTAGTTATGCTTCGAGCGCAAACATATTTTTTAACTTTGCTGCGATAGAATGTTTTTTTTTAGATAACCTTATACGTTTTATTTGCAGTTAGTGCATAAAACCAGGTCGATTCTAATCAAGTTTTAGGCATGGAGTCGTGATTGACTGTTAACAGCGTATGCTGCAGCAGTTTGTCAAACATTCGAGCAATCAATCGAACGGCCAGTTAGTCAGTCACTCAGTCACTCAGTCGAGTCGCTCAGTGAGAAATTCAGAAATTCAGAGACAGAGTTGGTTGTCAACAATGCCTAGAGACCTGTTTGCCAGCATCGAACGCCCCATAAAGTTGTCGACCTTAGTGCTTAGAGTTCAAGAATCTTTTGGTGATAAATTTGCGCGCTGCCATTGCTTGGGGTCCGTCGCCAGTCCGCCCGTTTGTCTGTCCGCTGGCCTGTCTGTATTCTCCATAGTTAGTTAGTGTGTCGTTGTTGTTGCTTGTGTCTGGCAGGCACAGGCCCGTTTACCGCAATTTGCTTGGTCGCCGGCTCGGCGCATCTCGAGAGTTTGCTGTTCGTTCATTATTAAGCAGCGAATTGATTCGATTTGATTTGATTATCCGTCTGCTATGAGAGTCGAGCTGCTGAGCAACCCAACTGATCCAAACCAAGCCAGAATCAAAGTCAGAGTCAAAGCCAAAAACAAAAACAAAGCCAATCCCAGTCCATCCAATTATCCGGACAGGCAGGCAGACAGACAGACAGACAGACAGACAGACAGATAGAAGGACAGGAAGACAGGTGGTGGGAGGGGATGCGGCCAATGCTGAGCGGCGTCTCGACTAATCAAGCGTATCGACTAAACAAACAGCAAACATTTAATTAACGATTAATTGTCGAATAGAAATTGTTCAAGCTCCGAGGCACCTCCATATTTCTCAGTCCCCATCTCTCTCCCCCTCTCATTCTATTCCGCTGTCTCTTTTCCCCCTTTGCGACAGCGTTGACTTTTTATTATGTAGAGAGGCAGAGGCTTGTCGAAAATTAAGTGATTATAGCTCTTAATACAGCTATTTGCTTACATGCGAGTGCACAACAAATTCACTCACACACTCGCACTCGCACACACACACACACACACACACACAGAAAGTTATGCACGAAACACACAGATACACAGATACACAGATACACTCACATGTCCACACACACACGCGAGCATTGAGCGCGTTCTCAATTTGAAAAGTTGTTACGAAAATTTTGCCAAATTGTTTGAACAAACTTTTAAGCAAGAGCGGAAATATGTCAAGCACACGACAAATGGGACTAGACTAGCGATGAGTAATGCCGAGGCTTTCCTAAATCACGACAAATCAACTAAACAAGACCCCCACATTTAATCAAGCAACCTAATCTAAGTGCTTCAATTGAAATTAAATGCTGTTCGGTTTCCATTCGGATGGTTCTGTTTGCCATTCACTTGAAAACGAGAAACCTGTTGTGTATTTGCGATATTATGCGTACAATCATCATTATTGTTCTTAATTGCTAAGGATTTCATGGCGATAACTGGTTAATGGTTATGAGCGAAGTTTAACCAAATTTCATCAGCCCAAATCATTAAAATATGTTAATTTGGTTAATTAGTGTTGCCAGCTGAGAGGGACTTTTATTTTTGTTAGCCTGTCGGCACATCTGCTTTGTAGGACATACTTGTATAGGTATTGGAAGAAGAAAACAAGACATCAACTCGCCAATGGACCAATTTAATGGCTGGCCGCGAATATACCAATTGAATTAGCTTTTGGTATCCGTTAATCAATAATAACAATATACGAGTATGCTCAACACTATGGAAGACCATTTTAGTTCGAGCAATCACAAATAATACTCTCTGTAATCAACATCAGCCATAGTTGATGGAAATGGACCTTAAAATGTATAAAACGTTCATCTACATTTTGAAAGAAGCACATTTGATTTGAAGTCGAGCAAATGAATTCAAACTAGTCCAGAAAATACCAAGTTGCTGGTGTGTGAGAAATCGAAAATCTGTGTGCATTTATATTGTGTCACGGCCTCATCCCTAAAAGCATACTTGTAAGCGCCTAGTTACGTATGTTTATAGGCATACATAATCATAAAGTTGGACTGCGATTCTATGCGGGTAGCCTGGGATCGCGTTGGCAGTGCGGGCACGTGGAAGTTGTTGCACATGCATAAATATAATCAGCATAATAAGCAAAACCATCATGATAATCATGTGGCATAATGTACATGAATATGTAATATATACCTATTATTATGTGTGTGTGTGTGTTTTTGTCATATTTCCGTTTGAAGTAACAGATAGACAGACAGGCAGGCAGGCAGACAGACAAACGGTCGTACAATGCTGCCCAGACAGCGTCGCAAACAAGCAAGGTGTGGTTTTTGAAACAGCAGGGATATAGGAAGATAGATGGAATGACAGCAGAGAGAGAGAGAGAGAGAGAGAGCAGAGAAGAGAAAAGAGGAGAAAGGCTGCTTGAAGATTGCAATTTTCAGACATCTGTGGAGCTTAGTGGCCATGTCATTGAGAAATGGTGAAAAAGCTCAACAGTGCGTGCAAAGTAAAGTGCACACAGACATGAGGTGTATACCTACTTGTATGTATGTACGTATCAGGAGGGTATGTGTGTGGACGTACTCGTATACTTGTAGTATGTAACTGGGCGACAAGCATTTGTCTGCTTGGACAGTGGCAGCCACAAGTGCCACTCGATTTCAAGCTCGTGCTGTGGTAATGAGCGCGTTCGTGTTAATCGGCTAAATAAAGTTGATTGCATGGCTCGTTGGAGCTGCACGGAAAACACACAACATGGACAATACCAGTAGTGCATATTCAACCTCAACACGCTGTAACCCATCCAGAAAATTGATTTGTTTATATCCAAGTACTCTTATGTAGATGCAACAAACCGCAATCGCAGCTGTTGCATCACCAATGGGGCGTATGCGTATTGTACTTATATACGGGCGTGTACTATCTGTACTCGCACATACTATACTGGTGGTTTCACTCAACTCAACCAGCGCACACGAGCGCCACCAGTGGCCTGGGCAACCTGGTCAACAAACATGGTCAGCATAAGCAAAAGGTTAAGCTTCGAGCGATATGCGAGCCATTGACGGGCTTAGTTGATTATCGGCAAGCAAAAAGCCAACAAAGGTTCCGAGAATTTTTGCACTTTGAAACGCGATAAAGATAAAAATTCAAGAAAAAAAAACACAATTGCAAATAAAATAACAAGTACACTCTGAAACGTCGAAACTTGTATACGCTTGCACAAAGCATCTTATTAGATGATTATTCCTATGAAAATATTCTACATATAATAAATGGCAACACTATTCAGTGCTATTATATAATATCTAGCTGTTAAAAAGATTTAAAGAGACTTAAAGCTGACTGTGTATTTATAAAAAATATGCAATTGTTTTATAATTATTCACATGCTTATACACATATGCTTTAAATTGCGATGATTTTCTAAAGACTGTCAGTCTCTCATAGCCAGGGGGATTGTATTGTAATTGATTGTTTAATAAGGAAACATTTCTCAGAGTGATTACAATTTACTTGAATTATTCAGATGAGACTCAGGGCGATAACATTTTAAGGCAGGTTATGCAAAGTTATATGTCAGTTGATGGTTGGTATTTACAATCCTTTCCAGAAGATTTTCAAACACATTAAGCCAAAGGGTGTTCAAATTTAGAGAATATTTGAACAATATTGTGGTATTACTTTGAAAAAGAATTCGAATGGAATTGAAAACCAAATCATAAGATAAATATTAATGGCACCCCCTTTGAGTTACATTGAAGAGCATTGAAAGGCAGTGCAAATGAAAATGTTCTGACCAGACAAACATTTTTGTTGGCATGACTTGAAATTTGAATTTAGCCACATGTCAACAATGCATGTACAAAATCGCATATACTTGTACATACTGATATATACACACGTA